AGAACTTCTGTGGATGGGTGAAATGTTGTGTGGCTAATACCACCCATGTCAACATTTCCTTAAAAGGACCTCACAATGCGTCGCGTGTCCGTCAGGTAATATTAATGTACTTGATCTCATATTCCCTATCTTTATAATGTATCTTCTTTACAGCTGCAAGTTCTTGGATTTTTGGCGGAAGGGAACGCTGAGGTTATACGCCCATCGGCTTCACATCAGTTGTTCTTCAATAACACCCAACATGACGCATTTGCCTTATTCCAAGCAATCTCCGCACAGGTTACTTTTGCGCTGTCTATCTCTTTTCTTCCTAAAATGCCAACCTGTTGAAAAATTACCTCTTTTCGATCGCACTTTGTTGAAATTAACGTTTATCGTCCATTCACGGCTATCACTTTGTCAACTGTCCCAATTAACTCGACTACCTTTTTTCAAACGTCTATACGGTAGCTTCCCCGTGAATTAGACTGTTGTGCGGCACCTGTTCTTATCAGCAGCATGACCTGTTTGAATTGAAAATCATTGTTTGCGAAATCTTCTAAGTCCGACTGTTTATCAATCTTGGTGTGAGAATGACAACTCTTTTGACTTGTTGAGCTTACGCCAAGATATGGCCATCTGCTAAATGTGCTCCTGTCTTGACAAAGTTAAACATACGAACTTTATGTCAAAATAGTGACGCCTTAAATGATATCTTATTTCACCTAAAGCTCTAATCTTAAATCTTCTCAACATATAATTGCAAACAAACATTCTAACCTTTTCGATGGCCTCCTTAGGCATCTTTGGCTAAATAGAAGACGTTATAAAGATTTATCTGTCTTTCACAGCAAATCTGCGTTTCAGGCATTCTCCGGGGACAGTTGTGAGCAACAAGATGCACTGCGAGAAAGGGTTGTTGATTTGCTTTTCAGCCGAGTCACGCTACAACCGCTTCAGAACTACGTCTGCACCCAAGTTGAAGCAGCGCTGGAAAGGTAGAGAAATTCGTCACTTCATTTTTTGCTTAAAACGTTTTATGTTACCACTCACACTCTTATGCTGTTTTTTAGGGAAGTGGAACGTCTGTGTAGCCAAGGAAAACGCAACTATTCATATGCTGTTGGTCTCTTAACTATGGCGAATCGTATGTGTGAAACAAGAGCCATAGGTAGCGGTGATTGTGATGTCGTTGCTCGCCACCAAGTCCTGCAAGCAGCTAGTCGGTTGCTTGCATTCGCACCGGAGGTCAAATCTTTTTTTGGCTCCTATTCTTGATGAATTTAAGTACAAATTCTTTTTTAGGCTGTTCAAACACAGTGCCTG